AATTTTGGACTTCTATGCATTGATCCGAAGGCCAGATTCTTGGATTCTTTTCAGAACATTTTCCAAGTGGAATGTGTGTTTGGTTGTTGTTTGACTGTAGACAACAATATCGTCGCTATACACCACCAAGCTGGGAATACCTTCGAGTAAATACAACATGAGGAGGCGGAATGTAAATGGTGCTCTTGATAATCCGAACGGCATTCGTTTGAACTGATATTGTTTATTTCCGACAGTGAACGCCGTTTTCTCTCGATAAGCTTCTTTTATTGGTACTTGCCAATATCCCGATCGTAGATCTACCGCTGAGAATACTTTTACGCTTTGCAGTTGGTCAAAAATCTCTGCCACAGTCGGAACTGGGACTAGTTTGTTNCTTGGCGGAAATCCACACAGAACCGAAATTTACCATTGGGCTTTTTCACCAGCAACACGGGAGAGTTATACGGACTTTGGGTTTCTTCGATGATTCCTTCCTTTAACATTTGTTCGACCTGTCGTTTGACTTCATCCATCAGATGTAGTGGAATTCGACGTATAACATGGACTCGAAATGTCCCTGTCTTTATTGGAATTTCGTGTTTGACCCAGTTACAGAACCCGTAGGGGTCATCATCGCCTGTGAACAGGTGGGAGTATCGTTGCACTACCGGCAGAAATGAAGGAGATACATTCGTGGAAGTTGTTTCTGTTCTCACGGTTGCCAACCTCTTCCCTTTGGAGCGTAACAGCGAGATCATGCCGAATTTGGTAACAAGCTGTTCATTGTTCAGATCAACCACGGTCCATGAGGTGCGTAAGATGTCTGCCCCCCACCCCTATAGTCTGGCTCGTTTCTTTTGTTATGACAAATGGGTTCTTGATTATACTATTTCCAACGCGGACCGTCCGTTTGGCTACTCCGTCTAAATTCAGCTTGTAATCCCCGACTGTTTTCACAGCTATATTCCACGTTTCCAGGAGCTCGTTTGGTTGGGGTCTAGCCAAAAACACTGCCGCACCTGTATCAATCAAGCATAGTTCTCTGTGCCTCTCGATCTCCAAATAGGACTGTACTACCACACCGACTCCGAGCTGCGCCGTCTTGAAGCGACGGAGTGCCTCCTGGCGGTCGACCGGGGTGTCAAAGCTCGCGATCAGGGTGACCTTCGCGGCTGCCCACTCCATTTTCTCCGGACCTCTTCGTGCCGCGTCCAACACTGCCCGCGCACGAACCTTGAGGAGCGCTCGGAGGGCCGTCAAATTGCCGCGATCCGTCCGTATTCCGACCAGCTCCGCCACATCCTCGAAATCCTCCAGGAACATCTGAACGTCCCCATCCTCGAAGGCTACTGGTCACGGTACCTTCATCCTGATCCTGGCGACGGCACCAATTGTTATATTCCCAAAAGGCGGTGCTGGTCGAATAGAGTTCTTTATTGCACAATACAGATTGGATGTCACGAATTTTGCATGCATAACACGAAAAACGTATCAGAATCATGCCATCGCGACACATAGAGTGATGGGTAGAGCAGACAGTGTTTATTTTTCCAAAACATGTTACTTGGTCCTTGATGGTCTTGTTCTATTTTTAATCACCGAGAGTTACCGATTACTCACTAGTGAGTAGTATCTCACAACAGTTTTAGTGGTTTTACTAGTACAAGCAGTAGTAGTAGTAGTATTGGTAGTAATAGTGGTTGCAATATTAGTAATAGTGATAATCATAATATTAATAGTAGTGGTGGTAGTAGTGTTAATAGTAGTGGCAATAGTAATGGTAGTTGTAGTATTTGTGGTAATAGTATCATTTTTATTACCTGTAGTAGTTATTGTCGTGATCATATTAGCAGTGGTAATAACGTTAGTTGTAATAGTTGTGGGAATATTAGTGGTAGTCGTAGTAATACACACGAAACTCGAATGTCGAACCACGCAGTTGTAATCGCAGAACACGAATGAAGAGTCAGCTATCACAATGAGATCACTGAATGGCATTTGTGCGCAGTGTCACACGTGACTTAGACACCAGAAGACCACAAAAATGGTAGCTCGTTGATCGGAATAAATGAGGGCGTTTAAATTATATGTACAAACGAATATCATTGGTTATTTTGGCTTCCGCCAATCGTATTGCAGTATTGCTTGCATATCTCCGCTTCTCTACGCCTTGTCTCGGATTGGCTGGCGTGATCTACCTATGGCATGTAGTCAGAAGCCGTCACACGTACGCGCGTCACTGATATCACCTTTCAAATTTGATCGATCACAGGTGTCCCGATACTGTTACGCACCCAGTCAGGGTAGACGTCATCACGTAGGACTGGGTCATCACACTGACAATTCGTATGACGTAGACATTAGTAAAATTAACGTTGATCCTCCGGGTTGGAGGGGGGGGGGGAGAAGCTACTTTTATTTTTC